GTCGCCACTTGATAACAATATCTGATTTAGTTTTGAGAAAGTACCATTCTTATTACACTACAGTATCTCTATAAGTGCTCTGGTCTTCAACTCTGTCCCCCCCCCCCCCCCCCCCCCCAATGTCCGACAAGGAGAATCTTAGCCCAGAATATCCTCTGGTTTTATTTTGGCTATCCTCCGAAATAACGGTCCTAAATTATAACGCCACCGCCGAATTGCGAACTTCCACCGAGAGTATCCCTCACCCTGCGTGGATTGGGGCTAGACAGGTGGCTAGGACTCACGAGCAAACAGAATGAAGAAAGCTGCAGGAGATGCGGTAGCTGCTGCTCGTGAGTCCCAGCCATCTAGTTTAGCCCCAATCCACGCCACGTTAGCGTGGGGGATACTCTGGGCGGTGGCGAAAGCGCGCAATTTAAGACAACGGGAGTGCGCAATTGACACATGACTAAGGCCCTGTTAGGGTATATTTTCCGCCTCGATAATTTGGGACCGTTATGCGGAGGATAGGCTTTATTTTTTTAATGACATTGATCCCAGGCTGCTAAGGCTGTTTTTGTTGTTGTTTTTTCAATTTGTAAGCAGCCAATCAATTTTAACATGCACAAGAAGATGTGGACAAATAATAATATCTAGTTTGAATGACTAGTCAGACTACCTAACCTAAAGTGGTTCGAGGTTCGGTTCCAAGTTTGAAGTCCTCCTTGTCCAAGATGGTTTGAGATTCCTAGGATCAGGTGGCAGTGTGTTACATTTTAAAACAATTGTTAAATGAGTTTACAATTTTAAAACATCATAAACTGGCAACTCGAGTCAAAAAGGAGCAAGTTTTCAACAACAACAATAACCAATCAATTATTCAATCAACATTAAATTAACGGAACAAACATCGATTGGATTGACATGTCCAACTAACCCATCTTTCCTCTTGGCTTTGTAGACATGTCCATATGTTCCTCTGCCCACTTTACAACCTTCATACTCGAACTCGTCCTCCACTTTGGCCCGTTTCTCGGCAGTCTTGACCTTATATTCGTAGTCCATGGTGGACCCGCTTTTGTCTGTCTCTGTGTGTTTCAGTCTGTCTTTGTGTGTCTGCGTCTTGTTTATGTTTTCGCCTTCCAGCTTTTCTACTTCTCCACCGGAACCGGAACTGGGTTGTCGTTCCTGGGTTGTTTCAAAACTTGAATCTTCGTCTTCGTCGTTGTCAACGTCGTCATCATCATCATCATCAGCTTTGCCGACTGACGTAGGCGATCATGTCGCTCCATATTTTGAGATCTTCAACAGCAGTTGTCTTCTTAATATGTATCTTGTTCTTCTTCGTTTATCCTCAAAAGAGTGGTTGACGTTGTGTGTTGTAGCTTTCCGTCAGCCTGCGATATCTTCACCTCTTATGTCCAGGATATCGTATTTGAGCAAACCCTTAAATAGTAGTTTATTACAACACGTTTGTTATGAAGAAGTGAGTCTTTTTTTTTTTTTTTTTAATTCTCAAAATGGGTCCCTGGAACTCCCATCGTATAGCAGTGATCATTTTGTTTAGTTAGTTAGTTAGTTAGTTAGTTAGTTAGTTAGTTAGTTAGTTAGTTAGTTAGTTAGTTAGTTAGTTAGTTAGTTAGTAGTTAGTTAGTTAGTTAGTTAGTTAGTTAGTTGGTTGGTTGGTTGGTTGGTTGGTTGGTTAGTTAGTTAGTTAGTTAGTTAGTTGGTTAGTTAGTTGGTTAGTTAGTTGGTTAGTTAGTTAGTTGGTTAGTTAGTTGGTTAGTTAGTTGGTTAGTTAGTTAGTTAGTTAGTTAGTTAGTTAGTTAGTTAGTTAGTTAGTTAGTTAGTTAGTTAGTTAGTTAGTTAGTTAGTTAGTTAGTTAGTTAGTTGGGTTATCATCATTGCACTCCGGACATGTCCATAGGTGCTCAGATACTCCCCTCAGTATGAACTCTAAAGTCCGATGGTTAATAGTACCAGTTCTATGTTGATTAACAAGTCTTCTGGTGTGTCTGGTATGCGTCTCGTTTTTTGCTATGCCTATCTTGATTCTAAAGTCTGCAATTCTGGCGAGTGATGTGGATTCACTGCCCCTAAAGTCCTCTATCCTTCCCATTTCTCTGAGGGCAATGCCCCGCCCTTTCCAACCACTTATTTTATTACGTGTTTGTCATAAATGATTTCACTGCAATATATTTCATGAAGCCTGCAAGGCAACAGAGGGAACAGGTTCGTCTGGCCATGGGCGAGCACTCGTGTTGGTCCCTGACCACTAATTCAATATATTCGCGACCGGGACTGCCAAGACCTGGGGACTCACATACCTTGCCATCCTCAGTCATGTTTAGGGAGACTAAGTCCCCTCTACCTCACCTCACTCCATCAACCCTCACCCCACTCCCACTCTTAACCCCTGGAACGTTTGAAAGGAAACTATGTGGTCTTCATATCACGGATAGTCGTTCACTTTTAAAGTGTTTATTTCACTCTATATATATATATATATATATATATATATATATATATATATATATAGAGAGAGAGAGAGAGAGAGAGAGAGAGAGAGAGAGAGAGAGAGAGAGAGCTACTGAGCACAATCCATCTAGATGCAGAGGTCAGCCGGAAACAGGAAATGTACGGGCAGGCTGGGCGGGGGAGGGGGGTATTCAAACGGGCAATAATTTCTATTCAAACGGGCAATAATTTCTATTTAAGTGGGCTCTGAAACAAAGGCAAAGCGACGACCTGTCATCACTATCACTATGGATCTTTGGTAAGATTTTATCCATGTTGAACAGATACCTAAATTTCCGTACTAGCCCTAAAATAACGCTATTGATTTTTATTCAAAGTTAGTCACTATTCTTTGCTTTGACATTACAATTACTTCTGTCTTCCCATTATTCAAGCTGAGGTCTATTGTATCACATACTACCACCACTGTACCTACCACTCTGTAGTTATTTCCCTTCGCCACTGTGGCAGCTAAACTCACAAAGATGTAATTATGTCACAAATGAGTTCCAGCCCCAACGATTCTCTTTGAAGTGTAAGGCAAGATAACAAAATGACACAATTTCACTGCCTATTTTCTCCAGCGAGCGTTAGTTCAATGACAGTATAGAACCTTTACTGGTTGCTAACAAGGCAATCATTTTCTGCCAAAGAAGAACGTTAGCGGATGCAAGCATACAGGCTCATCATCAATAACACCATCATGTCAACCAAAGATTAACACATTTACACCGATATTACCGCATTACGATTGCTAACTCACTAACTTTAACAGTTTTAAAAATGTTATCAGAATTGGTTCAGAAACGAAATTGTTAAATTGATGGGGATAATTTTTCAGAAATAAGATATTAGTAGCTAACAATTATATCCTTATTTCGTATTCATTATTTTCTTTGTAAAACAAGATTTAAACCTAGCTTGTTAAAGTACACGCAGACCACATCACCCGCCAAGTGCCGTTTAGTCTATAAAATATAGGTCTAGCCCTATATATCCAAAAGGCATGGAAGGCGTGGAGAAGAGTCATTTATTGTTTTTTTTTTTTTTTTTTTTTTTTTTTTTTTTACTTTTTGTTAAAGTATATAAGTGCCTTGAAGTCAGTTCCCGAAAATTGCATGTAATGCCGACTATTGTATCATTTTTAGTCATGTCAATTTTGTAGCCAGATATATTCGAACCACAGCCATATCAATACAGAAACTTACTAACTGTTTACATTAACACAGCTCGCACAAATTATCGTCGTCTTCGATGCAAGTACACCAATCCGGTATCTCCTTGTTTCAGCGCGGTGTTACCACAGCAGTCTTAGACTGGCCCCATGTTCCCTATAGATGTGTCATACGGAACTACCCATTGTTGTTGCCTGTGGGTATGACAACACACGCAGGAGGGGTGTTGGGTCATTATCTGGAAGACAACATTTTTATCAATCACAGCCTACCCCTGGTCTAGCATACGACGGGCCATGGAAGAGCTTGGTTCTTTTCTCTTGATGAATGTTGTCTCATTAACAGAATATTCGCCTATCAATATATGTGCCCATTTCGCAATGTGCAGTGTTAGTCGTCCCCCTGGGGTATCTGTTCTACCAATGCCGTCCGCCCGGCATCTGCTGTGGTTTGGGTAGACGCAAGTAAACAAAGCACTTAGACAACGGAGCTCGTGTAGTGATTAGTGAAGATTATCTTGACATCCCTCCGGACAGGCCCATGGGTGCCGCATCAGCCTGAAACGACTGATGTCTCTTCTGGGTTGAATAAATGAAACATCTTGTTCCCTTGGTGAAATGCTTTTTCCTGCAGCTGCTGATGTCCTCCGCATGTCCAACAGTCTAGACGGTGGTGCGGGTATAACGTCTTTGCTGTATTAGTCTTGGCCATACGTGTTGGTATAGTCTTGTATCTAAACCCTGGAGCCGAGGCACCGAACGTGTGTTTGCCCAGCAGTGGTTTTTTTTTTTTGTTTTTTAGTCGGACCGCACGGAAAAAGTGATTTAAATTGACTGGTTGCCTTGCGGTGGCATCTGTAGGGGTTTGACACCTTTTTCTGAATGTTTGGAGGCAGGTGACCTTGACACACCCTTCTATACACTGTCTGGGTGCTGGAGGCAGGTGACCTTGACACACCCCTTCTATACACTGTCTGGGTGCTGGATGCAGGTGACCTTGACACACCCCTTCTATACACTGTCTCAGTGCTGGAGGCAGCTGACCTTGACACACCCTTCTATACACTGTCTCAGTGCTGGAGGCAGGTGACCTTGACACACCCCTTCTATACACTGTCTGGGTGCTGGAGGCAGGTGACCTTGACACACCCTTCTATACACTGTCTGGGTACTGGAGGCAGGTGACCTTGACACACCCTTCTATACACTGTCTGGGTACTGGAGGCAGGTGACCTTGACACACCCTTCTATACTCTGAGTGCCCCGTATTGTCCAGGGAGAGTAGAGTAGACAGACAATGGCATAGCTGCAAACAACAGTCTGTGATAATATGGTCAACACGCTCCAAAGGGAGGACACAGACAGTGAAGAAGTCAGCAACGTATACATAAAAGGTGCAGATATTGTGATCAACTGTTGTCTCGTCCATCTCAGTGTCCTTGTGGGTGTGTTTGGAAACACCGTTACCCTCATCATTTTATCTCGCAGTGCCGTCAGAGATACAACTAGTATCATTCTGATGTCAATGGCCGCCTGTGATACGTGGTTCCTGGTCAACCTGTCTGCTAGAAAGTGCGACTGTTTGATGGCCAGATTCGACCCAGTTCTGGTAGACATTTATAACGCTTATACTGTGTCGTACGTCCGCAGGCCAGGTCGTTGGGCCGCATTCGTGGCGGTCTCACATACAACTCTCATCTCCTGCGAGAGACTGCTGTCTGTTTTCTTCCCTCTGAAAGTCTCACGAATGGTCAACAGACGGACCATTCTGACAGCTTTGTTAGGTATTTATCTCTCGTGGCCTGTGTGCGTCGTACCGTTTGCTGCCTTCAACTACCGGATAGAGTGGAGTTTTAACAACTTCTACAACAGGACGATGCCTGCCATTCATGAGACCCAGTGGTTCACCGACAACAGGCTCGTCTTGGACATCATCAACGATCTGGTCATCACCATGGTCACATTTTCATTTGCTGCCCTGGTGGCAGCCAATTCCTGTGCTACTGCATGCAGACTCAGTCAAGTGGCAAAGCAGCGTAGTATGATGGTTTCTAAGAAGATGGAGGGGAGTCGAATCGACATCAAGGCGTCCCGAATGTTGCTGGTTGTCTGTTGTGTATTTAACATCTGCAACTTCCCAGGCTTTGTTATCTGTATCTATTTCTACCTGGACTCGTCCTTGAGACCCCCTGACAGACTACACAAGTTGTTGAGCGACGTCGAGGGGCTGCTGCTGGCTGTCAATGCGGCCTCCAACTTCTTCGTCTACACTCTGATGTCTGCCAGGTTTTACAATGCTGTGGTTGCTTTGATCGGATGTGGAAGAGAGATATGACTCAAGTTTATCTGTCTACCTCCACCCCCCCCCCAACCCCCACCCCAGAGCTGTTACCTGCAAGTTTGATTGACCCTGACACTACAAAAAACTCGACCTGGATGGAGAGAAACAGGGCACATCCTAGATACCCCGTTCGGCTTACAGAACAGTTATCATTGCAGCACCCGTAATGGCTACATGAGTGACTTACCGCTGTGGCTGAGCCATGTGTGGGTAAGGAGACCAGTTGGGTCAGATCTGAACAACGAAGATGCTAACAATTGCATCCGTTCATGTTTGCAACATCCCAGTCTCTCTCAGGCTGAACAAGCAATTACACGCTCTCTCACATATACACACACACAGTGAGAAAGACAAACAGAGAGAGAGAGAGAGGGATAGAGAGAGAGAGAGAGAGAAAGAGAGAGAGAGAGAGATTGAGATCTGGACATACCGTGATGGGATAGCGCATATACTTTTCCGATTCCGATTCCTTTGAGAAAAAAATGAAAAGTTCGACCACTTTCACACTGCTGCTAGCTAGCCGAGGCTGCTAACAGTCTCCGTCTATTTTTGTGGTCTAGTTTATTTGCGTCACTTTCGTGACTAAAGTTTTAGTATTTGGGGCGTCTCTGAGCTTGATGCTTCCTTCCTTCGAGTCAGACCTCTCGTTCTCTGTCCTGCTGTTAGCTGTTGTTGTTTGTTTGCGTTCACCGGCTATAGACTCTGGTGGAGAGACCTGGTTGTTCGTCAACTAATAGACTTTTGATTTGTTCCAGGACCTAAGTTTTGCATGTGTATCCGTTTTACAGATCTGACTTATTTGTATGCAGATTGCTGGTTGCTTGCCTCTCAGGCAGAGGCACTCCGACTTCAAAGGAAGCCCCCAGTAAGTCGACTCATAAGACATGCTTCTTGGGGAGGCAGTGGGTCTATTCTTGTTTTCCCCACAATGGGGCCCCGGAACCCACACGGAAGGTTGTTAGCTGTGTTCTTCTTGCCTTTTCCTTCTAGGTGTTTCCTCCTTGATTTCATCTCTCTATGATTTGGCCAGGCGTATTTCGTAGGGCAGCGAGCTTCTATACATTCTTCTTCGTCGTTAACGTTGACTACTTTCAGCTAGGTCAGACAACGTTGCTGCTCTCTTTCCTGTTGGCTATATTGGAGGTGAGGTTTCTAGTCCTCATCTCATCTGGTTTTGGATTGTGCTTTCAGTGTTCTGTCGCTCGGTGTTTGTTGTGGTTTTCCGCCCGTTTGGCTGTTTGCGTAACTGGCTGGCCTTCTGCTGCGCTCCGGATTGTTGAATTGGCTGCTTTGCAGTCGAGTCGATTTTGGGTGGGTTTGATTGGCCGTTTGGTGTGTTCTATACATTGGCAGCCTGATTTCCTATATGTACACCTGTGTTTAAAAAAACGTTGGCCTGTCTAAGTGTGAACAGCAAACCCACAATACAGAAGATGGTCAAACAGTTTTTCAGCAGAACTACCAGCAGATGTGCTCCTCATCCATAAATAATCTCAGAGTAGGTGGCCATAAGAAAGCGACAGGCACCAATACACCAAGTTGACACCGACCAACGAAGACCAGACCAGCAAACTCTCCTTTCTTATCCTAACAAGCTATCAATCTCACTCACTCCTTCGACCTTACTATATGTCCTACGAAGAAGCCTGAAGGCATTCCAGTTTTGTTTTTTTTGTACATACCTGTGTTATATGCCCCCCCCCCCCCACGTCTACACCATGTGTGGTCAGAACCAAACTGGATTTTAAAAAATAAGAAAAAAAAATATTACAAGCAAAAGAAAAAGACTCACAATAGCTTGTAAAGTAAAAATAAAAAAGAAGAGATTCTTTGCTTACGCACATACGCATGCGTGATGTGAAAAAAGAAGAAGCAACAAAAAGATATTAAATATGGGACCCTGAAAAGGGCTTTGTGTGTGTGGCTCAGTGGCAGAATCTTTTGACTCGAAATTGTTTCTTGACGGCCGCCCTAGTGCAATCATCGACGGTGCGCGGAACTACCAGCGAAAAAACCACAGGAAACAACTACCTCAACAGTGACACGGAAGACACAATGCCAGACCAACTGCCAAACATACTCCCACCCACACCCGCTCCAGGCCGACCCAGGCAAAATCTAAGTGTCCTTCTCAGGACTATTAGAAAAACCCTCCCCAATGCAGCAGTTATAACAGAAACACGAAACAGTTTCAACCAGATGTGATCCCACGGCACAAGAAAAGAACGACTCCAAAACCACAAGAATCCAAGGACGCAAATATAGCCAAGCCCACGTAGCGGGTTGAAAGTGTCCTAAGTTTTTTTTTTTTTTTTTTTAAATCAAATCTGGAGTCTGGAAAAAAGAATATGGTTGGTTGAGTGGATGGTAGTTTAGTTGGTTGATTGTTTGATTGCTTGTTAGTTGGTTGTCGAGGTTGTTTGTTGACTCATTAATCACAATAATCATCACATAGGGCTCACAGTCTATTCCTCCATTCCGTTCTTTCCGGTGCAGCCAATTCAACATTATAGATGGAATACAGACCTTTAGCTTTGGCCTCTCTCTCACCAGCGTTCGTTTAAGGGTTTCTATTGGGCCTCCTTCCCTCCTTATTCCCTTTATTTCCCTTGTTAGTTCTCTGCTCGTCTAAAGAAGGAAAAAGATGCTCCCAGCAAAGCTGCAAAGAAACCAAGTACCAGCAGGGCTGACAAATGTACAGCTACAGAACACAATAACACAGAAGGTTGGGGAAAAAAAGCACAGCCACCGAAACCGAAATCACAGACTCAGAATCAGGACCAGTAACTGATGACGAAAGCCTTGAGAGCATGGAGACCAACTTTCAAGAACTGCTCCGAGGCGTGAACGAAAAGATGTTCAGACACAGGCTGGAGCTGAAAGCAGTATCAGTGCACCTCATCTTTAACCAGGACAAGCAGCAAGAAGAGTAACGCCTATCGGACACGGAATTCAACAGAATACGTGATACGAACAACGGACTATCCGAAGAACTGAACACTGCATTCTGCAAACTACTGGGGAAAAAAAGAAGCAGGAGGAGAGGAACACACCACAAAGGCATAAACAGTGCAAGTGAGGCAGACGAGGACGCCACCAGTACTAGAAGCCGCACTGCCCCTCTGGGTGTATGCAGGTATATGTAGCTGTGTAGGTATGTGGGTGTTTGTGTATTTATAAAAGCATGCAAGTGTGCATGTGTGTGTGATTGTGTGTGTATGCATGTGGATATATGAAAGCATTTTTAGGTATGTATGTATGTGTGTAAAGATGTGAGTTTATGTATAAATGTGTGGATATATGTATGCATGTGTGTGGGTGTATGTATTCATGTAAGTGTAAATGTGTGGTTTTGGGCATATGTTGGTGTCTGTACATGTAATGGTATATGTGTGTATGCATGGGTGCATGTATAGATGTATATATATGGAATGCGTGTGTGCATGTATATCCATAAATGTACGTGTGTGTGTTTTGTTTGTGCATTTATTTCTGTGTATGTGTATGCTTGTATATGTATGTAGATGCAGGTGTGGATGTATCGCGTATGTCTGTATATGAGTTCACCTGTATGAAAATGTAGATGTATGTATACGTGTGTGTGAGTGTTATGATGGCGTACACACGATGTGTGTATGCATTATATATTTCTTTTTAAATCCATAACATGCATTATTGATAACAGATATTAGTACTCTGAAAATGAGTACTTAGAAGGGCCGAATGTCAGACGGGCCTGCGTGCCCAATTTGTAACCCTTTGAAAATAAAGTTTGTTCGTTCGTTCGTTCGTTCGTTCTCAGCGATCAACATGAGCTAAACTAAGCACCAGCAACAGTCAGCTAAAACCCACAGAGATAAGAGCTAAGAGAGCTGGAACAGACCGGGACCAGAACCCCAAGTACCACACTGTTTAAGGATTTTCAATATAGAAATATTTTTTTCTCTTATGAACGGAAAGGCAAGACCGACATATAATCTGACTACTGGCACCAATGGTATTCTTAACTCTTGCCTGGTTGCTGAAGACCCACATAAAATCTGACTATTGGCACCAGTGGTTTTGTTAACTCTCTCCTGGGTGCTGAAGACCACTATAAAATCTGACTATTGGCACCAGTGGTTTTGTTAATTCTCTCCTGGGTGCTGAAGACCCACATATAATCTGACTTTTGGCACCAGTGGTTTTGTTAACTCTCTCCTGGGTGCTGAAGACCAGTATATAATCTGACTGTTGGCACCAGTGGTTTTGTTAACTCTCTACTGGGTGCTGAAGACCCACATATAATCTGACTACTGGCACCAGTGGTTTTGTTAACTCTCTCCTGGGTGCTGAAGACCACTATAAAATCTGACTATTGGCACCAGTGGTTTTGTTAACTCTCTCCTGGGTGCTGAAGACCACTATAAAATCTGACTATTGGCACCAGTGGTTTTGTTAACTCTCTCCTGGGTGCTGAAGACCCACATATAATCTGACTTTTGGCACCAGTGGTTTTGTTAACTCTCTCCTGGGTGCTGAAGACCAATATATAATCTGACTATTGGCACCAGTGGTTTCGTTAACTCTCTCCTGGGTGCTAAAGACCGACAAATAATCTGACTATTGGCACCAGTGGTTTTTTTTAACTCTCTCCTGGGTGCTGAAGACCAATATAAAATCTGACTATTGGCACCAGTGGTTTTGTTAACTCTCTCCTGGGTGCTGAAGACCAACATATAATCTGACTATTGGCACCAGTGGTATTGTTAACTCTCTTCTGGATGCCGAAGACCCATATATCATGTGACTATTGGCACCAGTAGTTTTGTTAACTCTCTCCTGGGTGCTGAAGACGGAAAAGGGAATGTATTGAGTGCTATGGTGTTGGTTTTTCAGTACGAAATGACGAAAACTTGCAGTTTTGCCTGAAAGCATTCAAAGAAACCAGGTGTAGTTTTGCATGTTTAATGAGTACAAGTAACAGTGTCTATCAGGTAAAATCACAGGGCTGC